GTACCTGCACGTACTGTAAATAACTTGATCGCCTCCACAGACACTATCGTAACTCGCAAGTGACAACAGATCCTATACATGAAACCACTGTTGATATGTCTCAACACTGCTTGATGATATCGTATCAGCAACTGAAGATGAACTTGTCGAGCTATTGATTGAAGTGGTCGGAATCACTGAAGAAGGCAACGATGATGTAGCTCCAATACACTAGTTGTAAAATCAGATGTAATTATTTCCTGTTGATGGAAGTTCCATAGGGGGACACAATCGAAGTATCAGAAATGCTTGATGATATCGAAACAGGAACACTAGTAGGAGCACTGCACTTGATATGTCTTGATGTGGTGTTGTAATTTCAGTGTAGACGATAACAGTACTTGAGTACTTGTCGATGCCTTCTACAGACTCGTACTGGCCAAGTGAAACGATCCTATACTTTGAAACCCACTGTTGAGTCTCAGCACTTCTTGATGATATCGTATCAGGCAACTGAAGATTGAACTTGTCGCAGCTATTGTATTTGAAGTGGTCGGAATCACTGAAGAAGGCAACGATGATGTAGCTCCAATACTAGTTTGCAAAATTCAATGTAATTATTCCTGTTGATGAGTTCCATAGGGGGACACAATCGAAGTATCAGAAAGCTTGATGACCACAGAGATAGACAGCTACCACACTCGAGTGGTCTGAATCTGCACTTGGATACTGATGTGGTGTTGTAATTCAGTCGACTCGATCGATAACGTGTGTCAGCTTAGTACTCGATAGCCTCTACAGAACTCGTAACTGCAAGTGAAACAGATCCTATACTTGAAACCACTGTTGATGTCTCAGCACTGCTTGAATGATATCGTATCAGCAACGAAGATGAACTGTCGCAGCTATTGTATTTGAAGTGGTATCGTGTACCTGAAGAAGGCAACGATGTGTAGCTCCAATACAGTTTGCAAATCAGATGTAATTATTCCTGTTGATGAAGTCCATAGGGGGACACAATCGAAGTATCAGAAATGCTTGATGATATCGAAACAGGAACACTATAGAAGCTACTGCATTGGTATAACTCGATGTTGTGGTTTGTAAATTCAGTTTGCTAGACGATAACAGTACTGAGTACTTGTCGAGCCTCTACAGAACTCGAACTGCAAGTGAAACAGATCCTAATACTTAACCACTGTGATGTCTCAGCACTGCTTGATGATATCGATCAGCAACTGAAGATGAACTTGTCGAGCTATTGTATTTTGAAGTGGTCGGAATCACTGAAGAAGGCAACGATGATGTAGCTCCAATACTAGTTTGCAAATCAGATGTAATTATTCCTTGTTGATGAAGTTCCATAGGGGGACACAATGCGAAGTATCAGAATGCTTTGATGATATCCGAAACAGGAACACTAGTAGAAGCTACTGCACTGGGATATCTGATGTTGGTGTTGTAATTCAGTGCTAGACGAAACAGTACTTGAGTGACTTGTCGAAGCCTCTACAGAACTCGTAACTGCAAGTGAAACAGATGCCTATACTTGAAACCACTGTTGATGTCTCAGCACTGCTTGAATGATATCGTATTCAGCAACTGAAGATGAACTTGTCGCAGCTATTTATTTAAAGTGGTCGGAATCACTGAAGAAGGCAACGATAGATGTAAGCTCCAATACTAGTTTGCAAATCAGATGTAATTATTCCTGTTGATGAAGTTCCATAGGGGGAACACATCGAAGTATCAAAATGCTGATGATATCGAACAGGAACACTAGTAGAAGCTACTGCACTTGGTATACTCGATGTTGGTGTTGTAATTCAGTGCTAGACGATAACAGTACTTGAGTACTTGTCGAAAGCCTCTACAGACTCGTAACTGCAAAGTGAAACAGATCCTATACTTGAAACCACTGTTGATGTCTCAGCACTGCTGATGATATCGTATCAGCATCGAAGATGAAACTTGTCGCAGCTATGTATTTGAAGTGGTCGGAATCACTGAAGAAGGCACGATGATGTAGCTCCAATACTAGTTTGCAAATCAGATGTAATTTTCCTGTTGAGAAGTTCCATAGGGGGACACAATCGAAGTATCAGAAATGCTTGATGAATCGAAACAGGAAACACTAGTAGAAGCTACTGACACTTGGTATACTCGATGTTGGTGTTGTATTTCCATGCTTAGACGAAACAGTACTGAGTACTTGTCGATGCCCTTACAGAACTCCGTAACTGCAAGTGAACAGATGCCTATACTGAAACCAGCTGTGATGTCTCAACATGCTTGATGATATCGTATCAGCAACTGAAGATGAACTTGTCGCAGCTTTGATTTATTGAAGTGGTCGGAATCACTGAAGAAGGCAACGCATGATGTAGCTCCAATACTAGTTTGAATCAGATGTAATTATTCCTGTTGATGAAGTTCCATAGGGGGACGGACACAATCGAAGTATCAGAAATGCTTGATGATATCGAAACAGGAACACTACTAGAAGCTACTGCAGTTGGTATACTCGCTGTTGGTGTTGTAATTTCAGTGCTAGACGATAACAGTACTTGAGTACTTGTCGATGCCTCTACAGAACTCGTAACTGCAAGTGAAACAGATCCTATACTTGAAACCACTGTTGATGTCTCAGCACTGCTTGATGATATCGTATCAGCAACTGAAGATGAACTTGTCGCAGCTATTGTATTTGAAGTGGTCGGAATCACTGAAGAAGGCAACGGTGATGTAGCTCCAATACTAGTTTGCAAATCAGATGTAATTATTCCTGTTGATGAAGTTGCATAGGGGGACACAATCGAAGTATCAGAAATGCTTGATGATATCGAAACAGGAACACTAGTAGAAGCTACTGCACTTGGTATACTCGATGTTGGTGTTGTAATTTCAATGCTAGACGATAACAGTACTTGAGTACTTATCGATACCTCTACGGAACTCGTAACTGCAAGTGAGACAGATCCTATACTTGAAACCACTGTTGATGTCTCAGCACTGCTTGATGATATCGTATCAGTAACTGAAGATGAACTTGTCGCAGCTATTGAATTTGAAGTGGTCGGAATCACTGAAGAAGGCAACGATGATGTAGCTCCAATACTAGTTTGCAAATCAGATGTAATTATTCCTGTTGATGAAGATCCATAGGAGGACACAATCGAAGTATCAGAAATGCTTGATGATATCGAAACAGGAACACTACTAGAAGCTACTGCAGCTGGTATACTCGATGTTGGTGTTGTAATTTCTGTGCTAGACGATACCAGTACTTGAGTACTTATCGATGCCTCTACGGAACTCGTAACTGCAAGTAAAACAGATCCTATACTTGAAACCACTGTTGATGTCTCAGCACTGCTTGAAGATATCGTATCAGCAACTGAAGATGAACTTGTCGCAGCTATTGAATTTGAAGTGGTCGGAATCACTGAAGAAGGCAACGATGATAAAGCTCCAATACTAGTTTGCAAATCAGATGTAATTATTCCTGTTGATGAAGATCCATAGGAGGACACAATCGAAGTATCAGAAATGCTTGATGATATCGAAACAGGAACACTACTAGAAGCTACTGCAGCTGGTATACTCGATGTTGGTGTTGTAATTTCTGTGCTAGACGATAACAGTACTTGAGTACTTGTCGATGCCTCTACAGAACTCGTAACTGCAAGTGAAACAGATCCTATACTTGAAACCACTGTTGATGTCTCAGCACTTCTTGATGATATCGTATCAGCAACTGAAGTTGAACTTGTCGCAGCTATTGTATTTGAAGTGGTCGGAATCACTGAAGAAGGCAACGATGATGTAGCTCCAATACTAGTTTGCAAATCAGATGTAATTATTCCTGTTGATGAAGATCCATAGGAGGACACAATCGAAGTATCAGAAATGCTTGATGATATCGAAACAGGAACACTAGTAGAAGCTAGTGCACTTGGTATACTCGATGTTGGTATTGTAATTTCAGTGCTAGACGATAACATTACTTGAGTACTTGTCGAAGCCTCTACAGAACTCGTAACTGCAAGTGAAACAGATCCTATACTTGAAACCACTGTTGATGTCTCAGCACTGCTTGATGATATCGTATCAGCAACTGAAGATGAACTTGTCGCAGCTATTGTATTTGAAGTGGTCGGAATCACTGAAGAAGGCAACGATGATGTAGCTCCAATACTAGTTTGCAAATCAGATGTAATTATTCCTGTTGATGAAGTTCCATAGGGGGACACAATCGAAGTATCAGAAATGCTTGATGATATCGAAACAGGAACACTAGTAGAAGCTACTGCACTTGGTATACTCGATGTTGGTGTTGTAATTTCAGTGCTAGACGATAACAGTACTTGAGTACTTGTCGAAGCCTCTACAGAACTCGTAACTGCAAGTGAAACAGATCCTATACTTGAAACCACTGTTGATGTCTCAGCACTGCTTGATGATATCGTATCAGCAACTGAAGATGAACTTGTCGCAGCTATTGTATTTGAAGTGGTCGGAATCACTGAAGAAGGCAACGATGATGTAGCTCCAATACTAGTTTGCAAATCAGATGTAATTATTCCTGTTGATGAAGTTCCATAGGGGGACACAATCGAAGTATCAGAAATGCTTGATGATATCGAAACAGGAACACTAGTAGAAGCTACTGCACTTGGTATGCTTGATGTTGGTGTTGTAATTTCAGTGCTAGATGATAACAGTACTTGAGTACTTGTCGATGCCTCTACAGAACTCGTAACTGCAAGTGAAACAGATCCTATACTTGAAACCACTGTTGATGTCTCAGCACTTCTTGATGATATCGTATCAGCAACTGAAGATGAACTTGTCGCAGCTATTGTTTTTGAAGTGGTCGGAATCACTGAAGAAGGCAACGATGATGTAGCTCCAATACTAGTTTGCAAATCAGATGTAATTATTCCTGTTGATGAAGTTTCATAGGGGGACACAATCGAAGTATCAGAAATGCTTGATGATATCGAAACAGGAACACTACTAGAAGCTACTGCACTTGGTATACTCGATGTTGGTGTTGTAATTTCAGTGCTAGACGATAACAGTACTTGAGTACTTGTCGATGCCTCTACAGAACTCGTAACTGCAAGTGAAACAGATCCTATACTTGAAACCACTGTTGATGTCTCAGCACTGCTTGATGATATCGTATCAGCAACTGAAGATGAACTTGTCGCAGCTATTGTATTTGAAGTGGTCGGAATCACTGAAGAAGGCAACGATGATGTAGCTCCAATACTAGTTTGCAAATCAGATGTAATTATTCCTGTTGATGAAGTTCCATAGGGGGACACAATCGAAGTATCAGAAATGCTTGATGATATCGAAACAGGAACACTAGTAGAAGCTACTGCACTTGGTATACTCGATGTTGGTGTTGTAATTTCAGTGCTAGACGATAACAGTACTTGAGTACTTGTCGATGCCTCTACAGAACTCGTAACTGCAAGTGAGACAGATCCTATACTTGAAACCACTGTTGATGTCTCAGCACTGCTTGATGATATCGTATCAGCAACTGAAGATGAACTTGTCGCAGCTATTGTATTTGAAGTGGTCGGAATCACTGAAGAAGGCAACGATGATGTAGCTCCAATACTAGTTTGCAAATCAGATGTAATTATTCCTGTTGATGAAGTTCCATAGGAGGACACAATCGAAGTATCAGAAATGCTTGATGATACGGAAACAGGAACACTAGTAGAAGCTACTGCACTTGGTATGCTTGATGTTGGTGTTGTAATTTCAGTGCTAGATGATAACAGTAGTTGAGTACTTGTCGATGCCTCTACAGAACTCGTAACTGCAAGTGAAACAGATCCTATACTTGAAACCACTGTTGATGTCTCAGCACTTCTTGATGATATCGTATCAGCAACTGAAGTTGAACTTGTCGCAGCTATTGTATTTGAAGTGGTCGGAATCACTGAAGAAGGCAACGATGATGTAGCTCCAATACTAGTTTGCAAATCAGATGTAATTATTCCTGTTGATGAAGTTCCATAGGGGGACACAATCGAAGTATCAGAAATGCTTGATGATATCGAAACAGGAACACTAGTAGAAGCTACTGCACTTGGTATACTCGATGTTGGTGTTGTAATTTCAGTGCTAGACGATAACAGTACTTGAGTACTTGTCGAAGCCTCTACAGAACTCGTAACTGCAAGTGAAACAGATCCTATACTTGAAACCACTGTTGATGTCTCAGCACTGCTTGATGATATCGTATCAGCAACTGAAGATGAACTTGTCGCAGCTATTGTATTTGAAGTGGTCGGAATCACTGAAGAAGGCAACGATGATGTAGCTCCAATACTAGTTTGCAAATCAGATGTAATTATTCCTGTTGATGAAGTTCCATAGGGGGACACAATCGAAGTATCAGAAATGCTTGATGATATCGAAACAGGAACACTAGTAGAAGCTACTGCAGTTGGTATACTCGATGTTGGTGTTGTAATTTCAGTGCTAGACGATAACAGTACTTGAGTACTTGTCGATGCCTCTACAGAACTCGTAACTGCAAGTGAAACAGATCCTATACTTGAAACCACTGTTGATGTCTCAGCACTGCTTGATGATATCGTATCAGCAACTGAAGATGAACTTGTCGCAGCTATTGTATTTGAAGTGGTCGGAATCACTGAAGAAGGCAACGATGATGTAGCTCCAATACTAGTTTGCAAATCAGATGTAATTATTCCTGTTGATGAAGTTCCATAGGGGGACACAATCGAAGTATCAGAAATGCTTGATGATATCGAAACAGGAACACTAGTAGAAGCTACTGCATTTGGTATACTCGATGTTGGTGATGTAATTTCAGTGCTAGACGATAACAGTACTTGAGTACTTGTCGATGCCTCTACAGAACTCGTAACTGCAAGTGAGACAGATCCTATACTTGAAACCACTGTTGATGTCTCAGCACTGCTTGATGATATCGTATCAGCAACTGAAGATGAACTTGTCGCAGCTATTGTATTTGAAGTGGTCGGAATCACTGAAGAAGGCAACGATGATGTACCTCCAATACTAGTTTGCAAATCAGATGTAATTATTCCTGTTGATGAAGTTCCATAGGGGGACACAATCGAAGTATCAGAAATGCTTGATGATATCGAAACAGGAACACTAGTAGAAGCTACTGCACTTGGTATACTCGATGTTGGTGTTGTAAATTCATTGCTAGACGATAACAGTACTTGAGTACTTGTCGATGCCCCCACAGGACTTGTAGCTGCAAGTGAAACAGATTCGTTCCTGGAGGCCACTGTGGATTTCTCACCGCTACTTGATGATATCGTATCAGGAACTAAAGATAAAATTGAAACACTAGTAGTCGTTGTTGAGTTTGTTATTCCTGACGTTTTTGTGATAGTTTCAATGGTTTTTAGTAAACCTTGATGATTCGTATTCGATGGAGTCGGTGACTCCATAATAACTGTATTTTCTGTAATTTGGGAAATTGATGTAGCATATGATATTGACTGAAATTTACTTTCTTGTATTGACTGATTATTTTTCATTGCTAATACTGTTGTCGTTATTGAAAATTCTGACATATAGGGATTTGTTGAGGTTGCAAGTGTTTGTTCTGCCACAGAGGAAAGCATTGTAGATAGTTCTCCTAACATTGATGTGGAAGTAAGTGTCCAGAGGTTGTTCGTATTTGCTATTGTTATAAATCCACTTGTAGTTGCAAATTGCTCCACCGGCAAAGTACTTGAATATTCTAGAAAAAGATGAACTTTATTCCATTGTTTAGATTGTTTTTTTAAATTCTTTGACTGCCTGGTGTTTTCTTAAATTAAAATAATACCTTTATTCATTAATATATCAATTATATATAATAATACCTTTGGGGATAATACCATGTCTAGCGACTACTTGGGTAAAGTTTTTACGACGAATCAGTGACAATTTTTAGGGTCAAATACATTTTATCAGTTTCTAAACTTTATATGTTCATACGTCAACAATATTTGCTCAAAAAATGTAAAAATTTGTATCTGAACTCAAAGTTTGATGGTAAAAACTACTCTAAGCTGAGCTGAGTTTCTTGAAATGTATTTTTTATTAATTTTCAAACAAGGCAGTCAGTTGATGAATTGAAAGGCGTTTCCAGTCAAAATTGTTAGATCCTAGTTTCAGTCAAAATGTATGAAAAACAGGTCCCAGTTATATCCCAGTTATAAAAGTAACATCCCTTTTTCTTTGGTGACTTTAAGACATGCCTAATTGGAGAAAGCTAGTGTTCATTTCCTATTCAGGATTTTGCTTTAATGTTGCAAATCAAAAAATGGCATAAATCTCCATTCAAAAAAAGGCGATAAAGATCTTTGATGCATTACCTATAAAATTACGTTGTTAATTCGCTGTTTATTCATTTGTTTTTATCTACTCTGGTAGAGCCAAAGTTTGTAAATTTAAAATTTTTCTAGAAAGATTCAGTGCAGAGAAGCAAGAAATTATTAAACTTGATTATTTAAGGCTCAAACTGAGTGTTTTGGAGTTCTGTAGTAAAGTATGAGCTGTGCTTGCAAACGCTGATAGTACAAAAGCTATTTGATGGGAAGTGTTATTTGTTGTATCAGATGATTGCCCTGCGGGGGCCTGCCCGGCAGATTTAGAGTATAATCGGATGGGGGTAAAAAGCTGTAGTCAAAATGTACTTGGGAGTACTTTCTATGTCTTGCAAATTGAATAAAATATACTTTGCAAGCAAGAAATCTTTGAGCATTATTAATAGATTCATTTCTTTTATCTCCGTTACATTTTTAAGCCAGCTTACTGTTTTAAGTTCTGTTTTATGAATCTGTTTTGATGCTTATCTATTCTTTGAGTTGCAGAAGACATTTCTTCAAAGTAACTTTCGCTCACTTATCCTATTCAGATGCAATCTGCTTAGTTTGTTTTCCAAAGAGAATACATAGTAGACAAAAGTGCCATCTAGTTGCTTTGAGTGTGCAATTCAAGTGTTGTCCCCTCTGAACAACAGTTTTGAAATTCATGCAGACGTACACCTAGTCTCTATTCCTGTTAACATGTTTGGTGAGTTAGGCACTCTGTATATGATTATAGTGAAGCTATATATACATTTAAAGTTCTTTTTTGTCTTTATATCTGGCTTATTACAACCAAGTAATTAATGAGCCAATAATACATAAATTTCATATCTTTTCAATGAATTTGTTAATGAGGAAATGCAAATTTTAGAGCTGGTTTTCAAACATTCTGCGTGAATTTATACTTATCCGTAATCTGTCAAGCTAGCAGCTTTCAGATATAAGTTCCATGTCTGTTATAATGTTTCAATTGTCTGTTATAATGTATAATGTTATAATGTTATAATGGTTTTAATAAAGTATTTGGCTCAAAAGTTTTGTTTTCACCACTGATTCTAAAAAAAAATTTAAAGGCTTCAGATTTGGTTGGAAGGTAAACTCTCCCCTAATGTAGCCAAAACGCAAAGCATGATCCTTGGTTCCTCGAGTAATTTGAAAAAACATTTCATGGTCAATTGAGATCCTGTGATCAATCTCCATATAAACGAGGACAACCTGGATATATGATTGGATCAAATAAGTATCTGGGCATTCAGATTGATTCAGAACTGAAGTGGAAAGAACATATTACTTTTTCTATAGGCAAGATATCCAGAGCAGTGGGCATGCTTAAATATGCTAAAAAATATCTCCATTAGAAATTGTAAAAAAACATGTATACAAGTATAGTTGAACCGCATTTCAGAAGCTGCTGCTCGGTATGGGGTTGTTGTGGAGAAACCCTGCTCGATAAGCTGCAAAAGCTGCAAAACCGTGCCGCACGAACCACTACTAAAAGCTCTACTAACAGCATCATCCCTTCCATTGATTGGAAGCCTAGGCTAGGGTGGTTAACTATAAAAGAAATGATTGAATTTGAAACTGCAATTGCAGTTTACAGGTCTCTCCAGGGATTAGCTCCTGGATATACGCAGCTAATGTTTACAAAATTGTCAGAAAACAGTTCCTCTGGAATGAATGCTGATGGATGGCGGAGAATTCTAGTATCCAAAAATTTTGGAAAGACGGGTGAAGAACTGAAAACAGCTTTAGCAAAATTCACACGCATACTGTGCACAAGAGATATCAACAAAGGCTCGATTGAAGCATTTGTTTCCTGTCGCTTGGTCCCTCTTGACAAGAATCCTGGAGTTCGACCAATCGGTATTGGAGAAGTATTGAGAAGGATCATTGGAAAATCAATTATCCGTGTCATTAAGCCTGATATACTCGAGAGTGGAGAATCTCTACAGTTATGCACTGGATTACCTTCAGGCTGCGAGGCTGCTGTACATGCAATGAAAGATATATTTGAAGAGGAAGAAACTGATGGCCTGCTTCTAGTGGATGCATCAAATGCCTTTAATAGCTTAAATAGAGAGGCACTATTGCATAACATCAAATATATATGTCCTCCAATGGCTCAATATGTAAATAACTGCTATGGAAAACCATCTCGTCTCTTTATCACAGGAAGTAAAGAAATACCATCTGCCGAAGGAACGACCCAAGGCGATCCATTTGCTATGCCTGTTTATGCAATTGGAGTTATGCCACTTCTATCATTGATAAAATCAGCTGAAAGCAAGGTAAAGCATGCAGCTTATGCAGATGATCTTGGTGGTGCAGGGACGTTACTTCACTTAAAATCGTGGTGGGAAAATGTTCTGCACTATGGTCCTTTGATTGGTTATCATCCCAATGCATCAAAATCATGGTTGGTAGTGAAAGAAGAGAACTATGAGCAAGCTTGCAAGATCTTTGGCAACACTCAGATCAATATCACAACATCAGGACGAAAATACTTGGGTTCATATATAGGGACGGCCAATGATAAATCAAAATATGCAAACAAAGTAGTGAATGGCTGGATTGAAGAGTTAAAAGTACTATGTAGAATAGCACGCTCAGAGCCGCATGCAGCATACACTTGTTTTGTTAGTTGATTTCGTCACAGGATAACTTATTTAACTAGAGTCATCCCTGATTTTTGCAAAGCACTGAAACTGCTTGATGCTTTCATAAATGAACAGTTTTTACCGGTGTTAACTGAAGGCTATCACTGCTCCGAAATTGAGCGAAAACTAATCAGTCTTCCGGTACGTTTTGGAGGACTTGTCATACCGATATTATCTGAGATAGCTCATCAAGAATATACTTTTTCAAATAGAGTGACCAATCAGTTATTAATGAATATCAAGCAACAAGCAACTGAATTAACGCTTAACAACAATGAAATGAAGAAAACGAAGATTGAAATTGCCAATGAAAGAACAAAATCGCATGAGGAGAAACTTGCACTGCTAAGAGAATATATGACACTCGATCAACGCAAAGCAAACGAGCTGTCTTGTATGAAAGGTGCGTCTTCATGGCTCACTTCTCTTCCTTTGAAGGCAGAAAAGTTTGTTCTCAACAAGCGTGAATTCCACGACGCAATCCGATTAAGATATAGATGGCATCTAAAGTTCATGCCAACTATTTCTGTATGCGGAAAACACTTTTCTGTTGACCATGCGATGTCTTGAGGTGGATACATTCATCATCGACACAATTAAGTACGTGATCTACTCAGAAATTTCTAACGATGTTAGAATTGAGCCACCTCTACAACATCTCAGTGGTGAAAATCTCCCAAGAAATTCCAGCATATCAGAAGAGGCAAGGCTTGACATCAGCATACGTGGCTTCTGGCAGAAGGAACAAAGTGCATTTTTTGATGTAAGGGTATTCAACCCATTCGCACCGTCGTACAGAAACCAGAAACTAAACAACACTTTTGCAGGGAATGAAAGGTAGAAGAAATGCGCGTACAGTCAAAGGGTTTTACAAGTTGAGCATGGTTCTTTTACGCCATTGATTTTCACTCACAGTGGTGGTTCAAGTAGAGAAACTGCAAAGTTTATATCGGTTTTATCTACGAAGATATCAGAGAAACGTGATCTGTCAATTTCACTGGTGACTATTTGGATTCGTACCAGGCTGTCATTGCACTACTTCGAAGTGCCATACTGTGCATACGTGGTTCCAGAAATAGGCAAACAAAAGTTCAAGTGGACACAGCCAACATAGAAATTGTAGAAACAATATCCCAGTTGATTAGTTCAAATTGTTGGGAAAAAAAATAAGATTCAAATTTTTTCAAGTTTTGTTCTAAACATGTGTGAACCGGTGGCCTTTCGGTATATAAATGTTGAATCATCGATGAGAAAAAAAAATCAATCAATAAATAAATTTATTAATGTGTCAAACAAATATTTAGCTTGCAAGCTAATTGGGGACACATAAGCTCGATTGGGGACACATAATTGGGAATATTTAGCTTACAAGCTAATTTCTTTTTGTTTCTGGTCATTTCTTGAAGACAAAGGTATATGCTAGGAAAAGAGGAACAATATGGATTGCATTGACAGATGAATTAAGGTCATCTTTCCTGGGTAACATTCCACACACAAACCACTCTGGGTATTTGAGAAATGAAACCTGGGTAATGTAAAGCCCTACACTCCCTTCATTGTCTTGGTTCTACCAGATGCAAACCCAATTGTAGCACAGAGGTCCACTCAGACAATACAGGTTTTTGAATTCTATTGCTTGAAGAATATTAATCGTTGTATGCGTCTTTGTTACATATGATAGCAAGATATGGCAACAAAATATCGGCAATGGGAAATGCTATGAAGTACTTGGGACAGCAAAAGATTTCATTTGTCTAAATAGCGTTACCATGGCAGACTGGGGTGGAACGTTCTCAGGAATATCAAAAATTTGAAGACTACCCTTTGTGAATGATTTATCATTTTTTTAAACAGCGAGACCAAGCGAAATTTCATACACAGCTTGACTTAAGTGTGTCTCAATTTTTATTGACGCCAAACCAAGTTTCATAGGTTGGAAAGTGAGGGGTCAAAGAAAAATTTCACAATCAAAAATGTTTTTCAAAAAATCTCTTTTGTTTGAAAAAAGTAGGGGGGCATTCTGCTGCGTAAATTATCATAAAAATTTGTAGGTAAATCGTTTTTGATTTCAAGAATCAATTAGATGAAGCTGTCGCTTCATAATGCTATGTTCTCTTTTACCACAAATTTCCAAGAATGAGGTATTATAATTAATTTTATTACGATGCCTTATATAAAGTTGCATACCATAATCAGGCAAAATACAATAGCATGCATTCAAATTGTAAAACATTGTTTATAGCCGACCTATTCACCGATTAGTACAAAATGCTCTTAGCTTACCCGCACAAAATGAGCCATTCCCTGTAAATCCTACATTGCACACACAACTCCCATTGCTGCAAACTGCATTTACGTCGCATATTTCTGTGCAGTTTTGCCCTGAAATGGAAATTCAGAAATAAAAAACAGTTTATTCTGAAATGAAATCCGAGGATTGACTATAAAAAAGGCGGCAAAAAGTGAAAGCCGCAAACTATTCCAAGGTCAACTGCCTACATATCTAGCAGTATTTAAAAAGTCAAAGAAGGTAAAAAACTGAGCAAAGAAAACAAGATACCATGAATCCTCGGATAAGCCCCCCGGGGCTTATTGCAAAAATGAATTTTTGGGTGGGGGCTTATTCTAGGAAGGGACTTATTCGACTTATGCAGTCTAAGTCATAAAGAAATTTTCATTTGGGTGTTGTGAATCACAGGCATAAACATCACAGGCAGAAGTGCGTTTCACCTATCTAGTTTCATTCAAGTTGCTAGTTTTATTGAGAGTTTACATAAATACAATGCATCTTTTTTTCTGAAGATCAGTGTCAAACGAATTTTTTCCTTTTCATGCAAGTTTTCTTCACGTTTTAAGCTGGTTCAAAGTAAAAATAAGGTTGCCGTCTTTTCGTTTTGAGAGTAAAAGTCCTCCATTTTAACCTTTGTCTTTCAAAGTATTTGGCTGTCAAAAAGTGATTCGGCAAAAACGCTGAAGGTGGCTCAAATTTGGTCGCAAATGAACCATAAAGCAAAAAAAAAATAAAATTGCAAATTAAAAAACAATTTAAATATGTGTCAAAAATAGTCCCAAAATACCGATGACGACACAGGGAGCAATGTAGAAGATAACAGACAATAGAAAAACTTAAATGTATGCTACTGTAATGCGAAAGACCATTTTCATAACCTACTTTTCTGGCCACCGTGATTATATTGAGAATGTAATATGAATGCATTAGGATTGTGATGAATTAGTCAACAGACTTGCTTTTGTGCCCTTTTGAAACTTTCAATGCTTGCCAAAAGTCTTGGTAAACTATGCGAAATTTTCACGCAAGTTCAGTAGCATGTCCCTCTCTCCCTTGAAACGCTGCGATAAAAACAGTTTCAAAGCTTGAAATTCGTCCAATGTCACTTTATCAGCTAGGGTAAGTAATAGGCTTTTCAACCAACATTGTTTTGGAGAAGGGGGATAACGATCGGACATTTATTTCATCAAAATCTTTCATTGACTACAGGGTGTTCGAAGGACATTCGGCGATGATTATTCTTTCTCTTTGTAAAGATTTTAATGCGCTTGTTTCGAACAGCGCCACAGACTTCAGTCATAAATCATTGTTCCCAAGAGAAAGAACACTACAATCCTAATCACGTTATTCAAACTTTTGATTTCTTAAACACCTTCGTAATTTGTTCTCTTTCTTCGAATGTCAGGATCGGCCAATCAGAAACGCGGTTTTCCAGTAAATGCTGCCCGATAGCAGAATCGCAGGTTTTAGTTGTAATTTTAGATTTGCAAGACCGAGGTGGCTGTTCTCTTTGGGGATGTGTTTTGTTTCTAATATTAGGCGGAACATGTTGTTCCTTTCTATCCTCTAATCTTTGGGTAGTGCGCCCTACGTAGCCAAAATCACACTGGCACGTAAATTCATAAACAACGGAACTTTTTTGTGTGGCAGGAACGCAGTCCTTTTGAATGGACGGAAGGGACTCTGCTATCGGGCAGCATTTACTGGAAAACCCAGATTGTGCAAAAAACTATAATGGCGACATGTTTCGGATTATTGGTAAAGCCCGATCGTCGTTCCACCTAACAGTTTTGGAATCTATCTACATAAGCACGAAAAGACCGCTACTGTGTAGACCAAAAGGAGTTCGTTTTCACCTTTGGACTCCATTGGTAACATTCTCAATAGGCAAGCGGCAATGATTGGTCAACCTCAATAGTCATGTGCTCGTGTTTCTGGTTGGCCTATTTCGATCCACAACTGGGTATATATATATTTCCTAGCGTAGAGTTTTTGGTCTATGTTCTGACGTTTTAACCCTGTCCAAACTAGGGGGGGGGAGGGGCACAAAGTAATACCCCTCAGACCTCCTGACTTTTAGTTTTAACCTATCGCAAACATGTTCATATAAAAACATAATTTTATTTTTGTTAATCAGGGGGTTGTGTAGGGGCGTTTTCAAAACTAGTCAAGTAAAAAAAAGTTTAATCTGCCACGGATTCGCAACAAAAGTAGATATATTGATGAAAATTAGTATCTAGGCATTAATTTGTGCCCTTTTCGTGATTCTGACCAGAAAATATAAATTCAACATCCCTTTCTATGAATTTTCTGCTGCGCATGCGCACACATTTGTTGACATATTTATAAGTATTACATTAATAAAACTACAAGTTTAGAATAATTTGTCTGCTAAGGCATTAAAAATGAACTTAAACATGACATTTGGTTGTATCGATCATTTAGGTATATAGAAAGAACTATAGCCAAATACAAAATATGTTGAGTTCTTGTGTTTGTTATGTTGAGTACGTTAATAATTTTGAGAAATGGCATTAAAATTGTGTCATTCTTCTTGTTTCTATTAGAAAATGCATCAAATTTGCTTATTTTAAAATCTTAGCCCGATTCTTTGGAAAAAATGAATATTTTAAGATTTTCTAAAATTTTCTAAATTTCTGCTCCACCCGGCCACCATTATGATGACGTCATCGTTAAACCACGTGACTTAAAAATTGAACAATAGTTTTAAAATGTGGTGAATAGATAGGAATATCATCCAAATAAAGTTCATTGTCCTAGCTAGAGGGACAAAGAAATTACGGAGGGGGGCACTTTGTGGACTAGGGCCCCCCCTAGTCTCCCGAAAGTTTCAAAAAGCCTAGTCTGGATAGGGTTAAATTCTGAAGAGTGTAAGACGCAAAGCTTTATTTTCACCTCAAAGAGAACAGCCTCCTCGATCTTGTAGGTCTAGAAACACTGTTAAAACAAGTGATTCTGCCATTGGTCAACATCTTTTAGACAACCCAGACTGTGCAAAACTCTATAATGACGACATGTTCCGGATAATTGGCAGAGCCCGGTCGTCCTTCCATCTAGCAGTTTTGGAGTCAATCTACATAAAAACGAAAAAGCCGCCATTGTGTAGACAAAAGGAGTTCGTTTTCTCTCTTGGACTCCATTGGTAATTTTTCTTTAGGCTCGCGGCACTGATTGGTCAACTATACCGGTCTTGTGCTTGCGTTTTTCTGATTGGCTTATTTCGATCCACAACTGGGTATATATTTTTCAAACGTGTTTTTTCGGAACCTATTCTGACGTTTTATGCTCTGAGGAGTGTCAGACGAAAAAGCTTTAAGTATGTTGTAAAATGTTTGCTTTTTTCAAAGCCATTTTCAAGCTTTATTTTACTAATTGTTTGCTTTTTTCAAAGCCATTTTCAAGTTTTGTACCATCAAAAGATTGTTTGCATGTCTCCTCCCATCCCCAACTTTACTCAAAAAACAATAATCATTGTTCTTTTGAGAAACGTTGAGTTGCCGATCCTGCGCAGTATAGTATTTTGTTAAACCTGGTCTGGGAGATGTCGGAGCTGCTTAGCCCATCCGTCGGAAGATATATGAGGAAAATCTATAGTTTTGTCGGAGCAAGATTTCGCTACCGTTTGTTAAGTTTTTTTAAAAAGAAGAAGTAACGGTTACGATTACAGAAATGCCACTGAGTATAAATGTAAAAACAGGTAATCCCCAAGTGATTTGCACACCATATCGGGAAATTCAGCCCTCTCTTTCGGCGTACCAAACGGCAATCGGACTATCAATATAAGTAAAAGTCTTAAAGACCACTGGAACATAATTTTAAAAGATAAAGAACAAAAACAGGTATAGAAACATCTCCCCAAACTAGCATTAAAAAGACATAAAAATATTGGAGATCTAATAACCCACATTTTTGGAAACATTGTGACACCCAGGGACGTCCCGACCCGGGGGTGGGGGGTGTCACACCCTCCAACTCTGTTGTTCAGCAATTTTTCAGATAAAACTTACTCATATTCAAATCAGGAAGAATAAGGAGCAAATGGACCAAATTTAAAAGACATGGCAAATGTTTCTTTTCTTGCGTAGCAACAAATAGCTCGAAGCTTTGAGGAGCATTCACATTCAGAAAGACAATAAGATTACCATCGACCCGGGCTTTCTTGCTGTGAACAGAAACAACCAAACCGCTTATTGCTGTCATTAACGGACGTAACACAATAACACCTTTTAAAGAAAATTTCAAAGGACGCTCTAGCAACGCACCATGTGGGACTATCTTCGGACAGAAAGATGAGCGGTAAGTTCTGGATTGATTTGAGAGCCATTAAATTTGAATAACATTTACAAAGAGCACTAAAAGAAATGCGTTCTTGAGAGAACATACAAAGGATGTGGAAAACTGCTTGAAGTTGAAAAACCTGTCAAAAACAAGATGGTCAGCAAGAGCAGAATCGGTAGAAGCAGTATGGAGGAGCCTAGAGGTAATTATTTGAGCTCTTGATGATGTAAAAAAGTCCGATGATAAAGAGGCAAAGTTGAGAGCATCAGCACTTCTAAACAATTGCCGTGGTGCGGAGCGCCGTATTATAGGGCAGCGGTAATATGGAGAAGTGACTGTTGCCGTAAAATGGGGAAGTCCTCAGAAAAGGCTTCAAACGCGTGTTTTAGTCATTTTCCACTACATTTAACGATAGATCTTCGAGATAAAGTCTATCAAATGAAATATCTCCCAGATTTTTATCGATTTACCCATTAAAACTTTCAAAAAATCTTGTTGGTTTTGAGATTCTAGCGACTTGTTCACTGCGAAACATACAACTCACTTAACTCTACGTGACGCGTGATAAAAAGTTCTACCTCAGCGATCATTAGAACTTCTAGAAGCTTCTTATTAGCTAACAATAGAGCAGCAAGCAATCTACTCTAACTACGCGTCCTACACTAGCTACTAATTACGAAGGTCATTAGCTTACTTACAAAATCAGCAATTACGTAACTGTTGAGTGCACGTTCCCAACAAATCTATCTTCGACACTCTAGTTCATTTAGGCCCGTTTTTCTCTTGTTTCCTCCACAAATACGAGGTTCATCCGCGCGTCTAACTTACACATTCGCGCGAATATATGACTTCAGTGCAGTAAGATGGAGAAGTTCTTTAAACTACGGCGCTCCGCACCACCCGACCTCCTTCTAAATGACATTGTAAACATTGATTTGGTCTGTGGCCTGATGTTTCTCAAAATCATAATGCCGCAAACAAAGACCTTAAGTGATTATTTGCAAAGAAAAAGCGTCAATGTTGCCAGTGACTTGGTCGTACTGAACTCGACTCAAGACTGCCTGAAGAGGATGCGATCGGAGAGTAAAAATGTTAATAACCAAATTGAAGCCGCCATCAGCGTTGCAAAATATCTCGGCACCGACCCTATTGCAGATTTTGCAAGACTTCACAAAAACATACGTCGTCCAGAAGCAGAGAATTTCGAGCTACAACAAATTAGCATCTTCTACAGAACAGAGTTCTTTAAGTTTATTGACAGCCTTTCTGCTACTCTTGCTGAAAAGGAAAAGTGTCTCAGAGGTACGTTTGAACCCTTCCTAAAAGTATTGAACCCAGAAATGCCGGGCAATGTCGAGGAACTGCGCAGTCTTCTTTCAATGTTTCCCACAGTGTTCTCTCGTGAAAGCAGCACCACTCTACACAGCGAGCTGGCAGTTTTCTTCGAACACGCAAAGAGAAAGCACGAAGAAGAACAACAGAGGGATCTAGAGAACGGGAAAGAAGTGGCACAGTTGAGCTGCAACGTAGCGGCCAAAATTGCTTTCCATTCCGAGCAAAGGTACGGAATACTTAAACTGGCAGCAAGTCTCTACCGGCTTTTCATCACTGCTGCTCCATCTGTTGCTACAAATAAACATTCTTTCAGCTTAATGAAAAGGGTGAAAAGCTTTTCCAGAAACAAGACAGGCGAAGAAAAGTTGAATGGTACTTGTCGCAGAGAGAGATTTAAAGGGCCACTCCAGCCCAAAAAATTTTTCTGAGATTTTTGCATAAATTGGTAGTTAGTCGAGAAAAAGAAGCCATCGTGAAATTTTTTTTTGAAAAGCTTAACTCGTTTTCCAGATATAGACGCTCAAAGTTGAGAATCGCCGTAAAAATACGACAAATTTTTTTTCGGAAAAAGCACTCTGTGACGTGTGAAAGGGCTATTGTTTCAACATTCGGCGCTATTGTTATACGTTCGCACTGAAATTCGCACGACTCGGTAGAGGCTCGGAAGAGGCGATTCATGTCGGAATCTCAGTTGTCGTTTTATTTATTTTCCTTCATTGCGATTAATGTACAGCGGAGGCTTCCAGCCAACATGGACTAGTAATTCGACAAATCAAAGATGGAAGCTTCAACCTGAACGCATATCCTCATCTTGGCAACGCAGCAAGCTTTTCAAAATGGAATGCTTCACGAATTTTCCGATGTGAATGGATTTCTGACCGAAGGCATTTCTTATCGTCGTCTCATCTCAGGGATTTCCAGGGAGCTAAATAATAATTGATGTCTTAACGCATTAGAAGAAGAACCCTATTCACAAGATGGAAACTTCCCCGTAAGTCACAATTCATCCTTATTATCATTTTACTATGTTGAACGTTTGGCGAAACTGCAGGGTGTAGAGGTTTGGAGGCGGTTTGCGGAAGGTGTGACACACACCCCCTAAGCAATGCAATTTGCCGGGCTTTGAGAAAAACTTCGTCCTCTAAATATAAGTTTTTTAACAGCCAGTCTTGTGAACTGCCCCCCAAATGGTCAGAAATGTGGTTATATTAAAAGTACAACAGGGGCTCTCAAGCAAAATGTCACATAAAATAGTACCAAAAGTAGAAGTTTGCTACTTTTTTGTACCAACAAGGGGGCCTGAGCCTCCTAGCACTACATCCCCTCCAATGATCTGTGCACTACACCTTTGCCCGAGGTATAGATGTGTAAAATTTTCCAGGGTTTGTCTCCTGAACCCTTTTTCATCATGTTCTACCATGTTCTGCCTTCAATTTTGGAGTTCTGCCTATTTCATCATAAAATTGATGCACAATTTCAAAATTTTCCAGATCAATATCCAGGGCAAAAGATCTACTACCCCAAAGATAAAACATGGAATTTACACCCTTGGTTTTGGAAAAAAGATGTGTCATATCCTCATTCTAATGTTTTAAAGGCAGAATTGTTTATATTTGTTAAATTTACCTTTGCTATTCTAGCATTGATTCATGTAAGCATGGCCTATATCATTTAAATTCATCTTTGTGTTACTTTAAATTAATATCCTTAGATGCTATTTGCTATAGTAACAGTGGTTGCCCTTTCACCCCTAAATTTCTCTTTGATCCTTTTAAATATCTATACTCTGAATGCCCCTGAGTGTCCAAGGTAGTGATTTCTTTGATCATTTTATGTTTTAATATGACTCTAAAGTAAATTTTGACTGGTATGTTAGTATTGATCCCTGCCAACCTTATTATTCTAGGCATAAAAAAGGTAACAAACTCTTTTATGGATCAGCAGAAAGGATCTTGCAAAAAAATGCTAGATGAAGGTTGGAGATTACATGCATCCTGTTATCAGGCTACTGGCTTTGGGGGAGTGATAACTTGCCCCTCTCTTCCCTGCAAGAGTTACCACAAAGACCTCAACACATTATTCTGTTTTAGTATTAACATTTTTACAAAGGAGACTATTTTTACAATTATCAAAATTTTATATATAATTTGGTCATATCTATATAAAGTTTGCAAATCCAGAACTATTATTTCAAACTAGTAACAACATATAGGTAATTTCTAGAAATTAGATAGATTATTGTTTCATGATACTTTTATAAGAACATTTCTCATGTGCAATAGAAATTACAAATTGCTAGCTAGTTCACTGGCCTGATTGTATAGATATTTAAATATATAATTCAATGTAGCCAAGTATTTAAATACAAACATGTATTTATTATTCATAAATATAGCAGGTTGAAATTCTGACAGCTTAAAGGAGCTGAAAAGGCCCCTGAAATAGCTTAAAGGTTAAAAACAAAAATTATATTTACACAAGTATATTGAAAAAGTTGAATTATTAATATAATCTCAAATCCCTTTTTTTGTATAAAAACACATTTATAATTTTTGAAAAAGTTGTTTCACTCATGACTAATGGTAGGATTTTAGTCTTGTCTTGAAAGTTTGTATACTTTCTTGTCCATGCCCTCGATTGTCCTGGTTTATTTCTAATAAGTCATAGTCATGTTGATATGAAGCTCTTTATCCTAATGAATATGTTGTATCAATTCATACAGCTTTCATTCCCGGTATACTGGTTTTGTTTTGGTCTTTCCTCCCGAATTAATTGCGCGATGATTTTCTTAGCTGTTGCACTAAAGGAAGAGCTGATGAAAAAGCGCGAATCTTCTTTTTAAAATCAGGGAACTGGCCTGCCAATACAATTTGTTTTAAAAGCAACATTCCATGAAATGAAAGTCTATCAACATCCTCATGTCTCTGTCTCGCTGGCCTTCTTTCACAATTTGACTTCTCTGTCAGAAAGATTCGTGCGATAAAAACTTCCATATTCGATTAGAATATCAAGACTGATGGACGATACTTCTATCTTTATATCGATTCCAGATAAAAGTCTGGCCTTCTAAAAAGCATGCCGCTGCTAGGCCCTGTCTGCCATTTCGCTACGTTCTCGTTGACCCTTTGGACAGCCGATGATACTTGCCGCGAATTTACCGAGGCCGAAAATGCCTGTGACGTCAATCCGGAGATCTCCGATAACACGG